ATCACTTCTTATTTCGCCTTGTCCTTTCCATCGCACTTTGCTGACACCTAGAACAGACACCTCATTCTTCTCCATATATATATATGCTTTAAAATAAGTAACTTCACAATAGATCAAACTACTTATAGGAATCCTAACAGAACCAATTGGGAGTCTTAACAAAGATGACCTAAAGGTAAATCTAGAGGCCATCTCGTGTAATATGTGCACAATAAAGGATGTTGATCAGTCCGTTGACCAGTTGCAATGGGCTATTATCTCGTCCTTAATCAGAATTGTCCGGCTAAGACCACTCGTGGACCAAGGAGAATGCCTTGGTGGAGTAAACAGCTGAGTGGGCTTAGAATCAAAACAAGAAAGCTGTGTAATACAGTTAAAAGAACAGGGCAGCGGGACACCTATAAGGAAGCTCTTACCTGTTACAACAAAGAAATAAGGAAAGCCAATCAATCATCATGAAGGAGGTACTGCCAGGAGATCAATGATGTACCAGGCAGTGCCAGACTCATGAGAATCATGGCAGAACTGGCGACCAACAAGGTCAGCACGATTAAGCCGCCTAATGGGCAGTATACTCAAACAGAAAGGGAGACGCTGAATGAACTATTCAGAGTTCACTTTCCTGGTTCAAAATTGATTAACAAATTGGACAATGGACAGGGTCAGCAGAACCTAAGATGAACAGGATAGACTGGAACCTGGCCAAAGTCATAATTAATCAGTCAGATATAAGATAGGCACTGAACACTTTTAGACCATTTAAATCGGCAGGAACGGATGGAATTGTACTGGCACTTTTGTAACATGGGGCAGAACTTTTAGTTCCACACCTATGTCGCATATATAGAGCCTGCTTGGCATATGGTTTCATCCCCACAGCCTGGAGGCAGGTTAAGGTGACGTTTATTCCAAAGCCCGGAAAACTTGATTATACCGAGGCTAAGGCTTATCGTCCTATCAGCCTGTCGTCTTTCCTTTTGCAAATGATGGAGAAACTAGTGGATAGGCATATCAGGGATGGGGTATTGAGGACATATCCTCTACACCGAAACCAACATGCCTACCACACAGGTAAATCTACCGAAAGTGCACTACACAATGTGGTAACACGCATAGAAAGTGCAATTGAACACAAGGCTATTGCCTTAGGAGCATTCGTTGATATAGAGGGAGCCTTTGATAGAACCTCATTTGATGTAATCAAACAAGCTGCTGGAAGGCATGACATAGAGCCTGCAATATGCAGATGGATCAATGCTATGCTGGAAAGCAGAACCATAGCTGCTACATTACTGGGAGAAACTCTGGGGTGTCTGCGTCTCGAGGATGTCCGCAGGGGGGCGTACTTTCACCTCTGCTGTTTGGTCTGGTCGTTTACGATCTCCTGTGGGGATTTAATGATGATTGGTATTATACAGTAGGATATGCTGATGACATAGCAATCCTCATAAATGGAAAATTCCTTTCGACCATATCAGAGCGCCTTCAAACAGCTCTGTACATGGTCCAATGATGGTGTGAAAGAACAGGTCTTTCCATCAATCCCAACAAGATGGTAATTATACCGTTTACTAGGAAGAGAAATATAAAGGGTCTTAAGGAACCAACTCTCTTCAATAAGACAATCCAGCTCTCCAGCGATGTCAAGTAGCTTGGTCTAGAATTAGACAAGGGACTGACATGGAAAAAGCAGCTGGACAAAGTCATTAACAAAGCCTATAAGGCTTTTTGGACATGCAGAAGCATGTTTGGTAAAACTTGGGGACTGTAGCCACATGTTATACATTGGATATACACTGTGGTTGTGAGACCCATAATTACTTATGGTGCCACAGTTTGGTGGCCCAGAGTTAAATTTAAGATAAGCAAGACAGAACTTAGCAAATTGCAAAGGTTGCCTTGCTTAGGTATAACAGGAGCATTTCTAACATCTCAAACAGCTGCACTGGAGATACTCCTTGGACTCCCCTCACTGCATATACAGTTGGATGCAGAGGCCAGGGCAGGAATTTACCGTCTCCAGTGCAGTGGACAATGGAAACATAGATCTGATGGTTTTGGCCATGCGTACATGACTCAGGGCATGAAAAAAGAACCCATATTACAAATGGGGTCTGACAAAATGATACTGAGACATGTATATGAAAAACCCTTCACAGTCAGATTTCCTGACAGGAGTGAATGGGACAGGTTTCGACCCGATAGAAAAGGGGGACTGATCTGGTATACAGATGGTTCCAAGACAAATAAGGGCACTGGAGCTGGTGTTTACTGTCATGGCACGAGTTGGAAACTTAGTTTCAGCCTTGGACAGTACACGACAGTATTCCAGGCAGAAGTATATGCCATTAAAGCATGTATTATGGAGAATTTAGATAGGAACTATAGAAATAGAAACATCTACATTCTATCTGACAGCCAAGTTGCACTTAAAGCGCTTGACAAACACCGAATCAATTCAAAATTGGTCTGGGATTGCCACCAAACCCTCATGGAACTGGCCAAACATAATAGGGTACAACTGGAAATGAAGCAGCAGACCAATTAGCTAAAATTGGAGCTGAACTTTCGTACTTTCGGCTCAGATTGTTTAAGAAGTACTCTCCAGTACTCAGTATGGAGTCCTAGGTTAAGATGTGCAATCCAATTCAGTACATCTGATTCTGGGCAACTATGTCCCTAATCCTGAGAGCCACCTTAACATGCTTGGGTAGGTTCCTGGCATCAGTAAGCTTCAGCCTGGCCCTTGTTTCCAGCCTGTAATTATCGATGGCTTTGATAAGCCATTGACCAGACTGTTGGTCGGCGCATATATAAATAATTTTGCCTCCCTCCAGTCTGTAGGACTTCAGGTGTGGTAGTTCTCCTAGTGGAGCCCTACGTAACACCCCTCCCAGTACATCCAGAATGGAGTTCTGGTCACCTGTTAGCTCATCTTCAGGATATGTTTCCCTGAAGATAGCTACCTTTCCATCACAGCCTCCTTGTAGGTGCCTTGTCCCTTAGCGTCCTTTGGCCTTTTTGGAGCTCTGACCATTTGTGTGAGGGTAGTGCCCTCCGACCTTGGCCTCTTAAAGGTCTCGGTAGGGGTTTCTCCCTGCATGGGTGAGCCTGCATTTCCTGGTTGCTGAATGCCCCCAGTTCCTGCTTTGCTTCCTCTAGCTCTTGCCTTTTTAGGTTTCCGTCTGGTGCATCAGGACAGTGCCTTCTTTGCCAGACGGAGTCCACTTACTCCAGAGACTAGGTGTCCCAGACCTTTTCCTACTGTAGGTATGCTAGAAGTACTAGCTCCCTGCAGTGGTTTGTCAGTACTACTGACTCCCAAGAGAGTGGCTTCTGGTTTTTCCTTGGGCAGGTTTTGAACCACTGGTTTGTCCCTGTCTTTGGCTGAAATTTCAACAACATGTTTGCTGGTTGCACCAAAGCTTCCTGCCCCCTGCTGAAGTATTTCTTGTTGGGATCCCCTTGGATGGGAGTCCCTCTTCTGTTTAAGGTCCCTACGACCGGTTTTTATTTTTGTACCTTACATATTGGTCACACATGTCATGGGGATATAGATGGTCACCATCCGCAGCGCCCCATACGGGTGGAAGGCATGAATACAACAGGGTGCTGCGTGGTGTCCTGAGGGGATCGTTCATGACACCAGCTAATAACCACCCCAGTGCTACGCAGCCCTCAGGACGTTGCCTCACACCTTGACTTAGGTGGTCCAGTCCTGTTAAGGATAAACCCTCACAAGCCTCCAGGACCAAGAGTTCTCGATCAGGGAAAGGGGGGTATCCTAGATGATCAATGGGAGTGCGACACCAGCTAATCATTAGGTTGCGACCAGGGAAACCTGCATGAACCAGTCGCCCTAGGGGTGGCATAAAAGCCCCCCCCCATTCCCACCCCTCCACGTGGGTTGGTCAGACCGTTTTAGCCCAAAGGCTTGTGGCACCTTATCAGTACTCTAGAGAGACAGCTCAAGTAGCAGAAGCTACCCCCATAGTAGTGCTCTCCCACATTCGTCCCGGGTAGACTGTAGTGCTACTAGAGGGTCATTATGCCGCTGCGTGGGAGGCTCCGGTCATAGAAATGCCATTGTCCTTTATGGGAACTTAGCCACCAGCCCCGGCCATACAGTGTTTTCTGGTTCCAAGTCCCACTGGACTTACAGCCATATTTTACTGTCCGACAGCTCTGGGAGCCTTCAGACTACTCATCCAATAACAACTCAAGATTCAGAGCCGCTTTATGACTGGTGGTTTGGAGCCACTCAATTAGTCTTGGCTCCAAATACCTTAAGGTCCACAACCAGACCTTTCTTTTTTTGCAGCTGAACACTTGTGGTCATAGTCTTTGTGTAACATCCTCTCTGATGATGGGTTTGTCTCTTACGAATATACTTTGCCATTGTAAAGTGTACATAGTGCATGCATAGCATGTTATTGATAATTCATCCTTGTTCACTGTATTAGCATAAGTCATTAGTGATCTGATTAGTGCTTTATGGAGGGTTAGTTTAATGGTGGAGCTTAAATGCTCACTTTTGGATAGGGAGAATGTGCTAATAAATGTTCTGAATGTCTTGGCTTCAGTAATTTTTATGTGCAGTCACCATGTAATCCTATTATCAAAAATTACACTGATATATTTTACAGGGCTGTTCCCTAGCAGAGCTATTGTACTGTTGCCTGTATATGCAGCTGTTACCTTGCAATGGGTCTACATGTCACAATATGCAGTGTCTTGTGTTGGCAAACTCACATTAGAAGGACCGCGTTGCTAGTCCCCTGATTTGGGTGGGTCTGAAATTAAGGAGGATCATTGTAGGGCTTGATATCTCTCCTGTGCCGAGTGAGAAAACATTTCTCTTCCTTACTTGCTTTTATCAGTATTATATGCAAACATCCCATATCCCTTTGATAACATATGTCAATATGTATCTATCATAATTGTGTTGGTTAGCTTGGGTAGAGCAGTTCAAGCCTTTTCATGTGTGTTAAAATCACGAGTTTCTATACATGGATTCCCTGAGGTTCCTTACTTATTTTTACTTACATTTATAGAGAAAAAGGATGAATTCTTGCAACCAGTGCACATTTTAAAGAATTTTTTGGCATGCTTCTTCAGTGATAAATTACTGTTGCAATTATGTCTGTATATATTGCCATAGTCATGTAAGATGTTCTTTGAATATAACATGAACATGTGGGTAGAAGTAGCTTTCACATCAATAATTTATTCTTCTTAAGACATTTTTTAGAAGTATAAGTTGGAATTTGTACTTGTTGAAATTCCCAAATATGGTTATATGTGGCGAAGGCTTGGAGACATATTGTATGAAAATTATATATAAGCAAGAGATAGGTTTACAGAATGCATGTAGTGTAGAATGGTGTTTTTCCAAATTTACAGTTAACCGAGGCACCACAACCAAGAAATGCTTCTGCAAAATAATCACTGTTGGACTTTATCAAATAAAGTGTTTGAAAATTTGATTTGAAGTGTTTGAAAACGTTAATTTAAAATTACATTTAATAATTTTTCATGTTTCATTTGTTTTAAAAGTTTTGTAGTTTAAATTATTATAATAGTGCTTCTTGTGGATAAGAATTATGCAAATTTTGATTATCCAAACTACCTTTGTCATTAATTATTTTGGGTAATTGACATTCTGCTGTATTTACATAGGCCAATAATCTTTTGAAAGATATGAGATTTATTTAGCAGTTCAGAATTGTAATTGTTAAGTACTTGTATACAAAGCTGCAATTATATAAAGTTGTGGTGCACTGGTATATTCGCTTATAACTTATTGGCCGATTCTTCATGACGCTGTAATTAAACATTTCCTTTGAAAGAATCACTGTAATATACAGTACAGTACAGTACACTACATTGAAGCAGTCAAAACAGATTTGGAAGGCAATAAATATGGCAATAAATTTAAATATTTTGAATTATAAATATGTATTTACCATTGTAGAAGACAGTGTTTCACCTCCAGAATGGCCTCCAGAATTGCAGTGCATCTTATATACTGGTAAGGTTTAGAAGAAAAATATTTTGTAATTTCTCCTTCCTAATCTGCTTTTTCTTGTACACCAGGAAATACAGTAAGTATAAAACAAAATTTCAAGGTAAATGATATAATGATACAAATTCCGTCCCAAGTGCAAACAATATATTATGTGTCCTTGATCTTGTTCCTCTACACTACATGTTTCGGCCTCAGACGGCCATCATCAGGTGTATAACACTCACGTCGCTGTCACGCTGCACTCAGCCCAAAATTTAACATTTAAAACACTTTCCTTGTTATTATCAACATCTACTTCGTTGATATCTGTCTGGTTTGTAGATTATTTTACACACATTAATTTTTACTACGTGTAAAGAATAACAGCGGCACACACACAGGATAACACCTATACAGTGTTGAAACAAGAACTAGCCACTGCAGCACTTTAGACATAGGGCAAGTAACCCTAACAATTTTAAATTTTAAAATTTAGAGAAAAAAAAAATTTAAAGTATTTTAAAATTAGAACTAAAGATTTTATAGTGCTACTACAGGTATGTCAAAATTAACGTGTGTAAAATAATCTACAAACCAGACAGATATCAACGAAGTAGATGTTGATAATAACAAGGAAAGTGTTTTAAATGTTAAATTTTGGGCTGAGTGCAGTGTGACAGCGACATGAGTGTTATACACCTGATGATGGCCGTCTGAGGCCGAAACATGTAGTGTAGAGGAACAAGATCAAGGACACATAATATATTGCTTGCACTTGGGACGGAATTTGTATCATTATATCATTTATCGTGTGGAGTGCAACAGGATGCTTAAATATAATATTGTAAAATTTCAAGTGGTCTCATAATAGTATATGACACCATTCATTACTGAAATTCTGGGCCTCATCCAGTGCCTGGTGTTCAGACAGTGGACAAAGTCCAGATACTCAGTAATCCGAAGTGTAAAGTACTTTGACATACAAGTTCTTATTGTAACATTATTGTTTCAGTTTTACTCTCATAGTTGCATTGTTGTGTATACCATTTTGTGCTGTAATGAAGGAAGATCCTTGCAGCCTGAAGCAGACTTGTGGTGCCTGTATCCAGGAACCAAAATGTTTTTGGTGTAGTGATCCTTTGCTGGTATGTGAATGGATCAAATTGACAGTACAGTGTTCCATTCAGTAGTGTTCAAAGTGTGTCATGTCTATAGAAAATCTTAAATCAAGAATTATCTTATCAAACAAGTTGGTTAAGAGGTAATGCTCTAATTTTGTATTTGGGAGATGCTGGGTTCAAATTTCATCGTGGATGCTGGCTATAGTGACTAGGGTTTTTCATGTTTCAGTCAGCATTTACATGAAGAAGTAAAAGCTTACAATTTTATATGAAATTCTGCAGTGATGCTTTGCAAACAAATTTAGGACCTACCTACCTGCAGTCATGTGACACAGTCAGAATGATGTATCCTGTACAAGCACTTCATGACTGCATAACTTACCGTCTGTTTCTAATAAAGACTTCTATTCATAATTATACCCTTCTCTCATATAATCTCTGTTAGCGCTACAGCTAAACAATGAAACACAAAACCATAACATCAGTTAAGCAAGAGTGAACAAGATACCAAATTATTTGTTTGCAGAATGAAACAGAGCAACAGCGGTGTAGCCAGAGAAAAGACCACTGTGATAAAAACTACATTATAGATCAAATCACTAATTACACAGAGCTTAGGAAGAAGCCACTTGTCTCATATACAAGCAATGTGTCTGAAGTCATTCAGATAACTCCACAGGAAGTGTACCTCAATATGAGAGTCAGTAAGTGGAACTGAATAATATTTTAATTGAAATATTAATCTGAGTAACAGGATTATATGTTGATGGCATATAGCTTTTACAAGAAACAATTTATTGAACAGTTGAATAGCTGTCATCTACTAATTGAAGATTCTGTGTTATGGCATTCTTTTCTTTTTGTTTACCTGATTTTTTTTGTGTGGGGGGGGTGTTGGGTGGATGCCGTCCCCCACACACACTGCCCAATTAAACCACGCTGCATGCTAAGTCACTGCATCAGAATTTATATTTGATGGTGTAGTCTTCATACTTCTTGCAGCAAGAAACATTTGCCTGTTACACTGTATGAAATTAACTAACTACAAAGGAATATGCGTCCTTGAAAAGCCAGTAGTAGCTCAGCTAGTCAAGATATTCCCAGCATTTTATGGAACTGAACGTTTATCACCTGTTCACAAGAGCTTACAGTATCTGAAACATCATCTTCAGCTTGGTTGATGTTTTGTTGTATGATATTCTTTGTTATTTAAGTTAAAATTTATAAACCAAGTCTGGCTTTGTGTCTTCCATCAGCCTTTATTTTCAAAACCCATTTACTGGTCAGAATTTTCTTGCCCATTGCTTTCTCTCTGTTTACATATATCCAAGTTTTGTTTTGGTAGAGCGAATCCTTTTCCTCTTTAATGGCTTTCTTCCACTTCTCGCTGTCTTCACTCTCCATGCACTTGTCATATGTATAGGTGAGCATACCCTCCTTTTGACTCTCTGTATGATAGTCTCGGTACTTTGGGTTCATTTGAATGTTTCTTCTTGGTCTCAATGCATATCTATGTTCGTTTTGTCCATTGTTTTTTCTTCCATTATCCTTGTGGTCAGCATTTTCATTTTCTTCATCCTCTTCAGTATCTGTTGGGTCTTCTTCATTGTTGTCAGCTTCGGGTTCTTGCTGCATTTCGCTGTCTTCTTGATCTGGAGTATTTGGCATGTCTTCTGGATCTGTCACTCTTTCCATTTCCTTTTGTTTATTTGTTGTCACAGGTTTACTTGTGAATGTCACATCTCTGGAGACATAAGTACTTTCAGTATTTGGATCCCATATTCTGCAGCCATTTGTGTTGTATCCAATGAATATTCCTTTCTTGCTATGACTGTCCAACTTTTTCAGTGGTCCGAGAATTTTAGTGTACACTTCTGAACCAAAAATCTTCAATCCAGTCAGATCTGGTCTTTTACCATACCAATTTTTTGCTGGCATTCCATTCACTGTCACTGTTGGACTTCTGTTTAGCAGGTATGCAGAAGTGAGTACAGCTTCACCCCACATCCTCTTACTTAAACCTGAGTAAAAAATCAATGCTCTTGCGTTTTCCACAGTAGTATGGTTCATCCTTTCGGCAGTGCCATTTATCTGAGGCGAATGTGGTGCAATAAATTCCATTACAATCCCCTTGTTCTTACACCATTCTCTCAAGGTGTTGTTCTTATATTCCCCTCCATTGTCGCACCTTGTTCTTCTCACTCATGTATTGAAGTGACACCAGCTTCATTTACATATTCCTTCAAGAAGGTATACACTTAACTCTTATTTTCTAACAGTTATATCTTACAAAAATGCATATAATCATCCACACACATAAGGAAATATTTCTTATTATCTTAAGTGGTGGGATCAATTGGTCCACACACGTCACTATGAATTATCTCTAATGGCTTTCCAGCCCTACTTCTTTCTGTATCAAATGGGAGTCTCACTTGTTTGGCCTGTATACAAACTGAACATATATCAAAATTCTTACACTTGCTCACACTTTCTGGTATCCCTTGGCATATCTCTTGTAGTTTCCTAAGATTCGAATAACCTATGTGACCTAGCTTTCTGTGTCACTCTACACTTACATCTTGCTGAGTCATCATAGCTTCATTCCTCGCGCTAAAGTTAATTACAAACAATCCATTTACATCCTTTTTTCCTTCGATTACAACATTTTTGTCCTTGAGTATCTGGACTTTCTCTTTTGTAAACAACACTTCCCATCATGTTCTGTAATACAGTGCACTGACAGCAGGTTTTTGCTGAGTTCTGGAACATATGAAACGTTTTTCACACTACACTCTTTAAATTCCAAATTCCCTATTTCTTTTGCAGTCGTACTTTGAGTTTTCTTTGCTACCTTTATACATTGAGTATACTGCTTAGTATGTATCAAATCAGTCTTCACATTTGTCATATGACATGTGATATCACTATCCACTACATACATTTTGTCGTTTTCACTTGCATCACTCATGTGGGTTTCTGCTGCTTCAGCTAGAAAATTGACCTTGCTTCTTATATTCCTATCTTTAAAATAGTCCTTTTCAGAATGGTTCGTTTTCTTACATACTGTACATTGTTTTATTGTATCATTGTCCTTATTTCTAAAGTAACATTCCTTTTCAGAGTGATTATTCATTTTACAGATAGAGCAATTTCCCTTACCTTTGTTAGGGCAGTTGATCTGGGCATGACCTATTTGATTACAATTGAAACACTTGAAAGGGGTTTTACTTTTGGTTTTAGTTACTATCTTAAAAGCTATGCTTTCCTCTTCTTTAGTCGTCATCTTGCATTTCAATTCTTCCAACATCAGTCTGGCCGCCAGGTTGTCAAGGGTTCTGTCCACGGTTGCTGTTGAGTCCCAGGCGGTGCTGAAGTGTTTGTAGTCTTCTGGTAGAATTGTTGTTATTTTTGTCATGATCATGTTTTCATCAACGTTTTGGTTCAGTTGATGAAGCTTGAAGCAGTGTTCTGCATATGACTTATATTCGTCATCATATCCTTAGTTTTGTCATACTGGAAGTTATAGAAGTCTTGTAGCAGAAGGCACTTCTGTTGAGAGGTGTCTTGCTGATAAATTTGCTTCAAGGTGTCGTACATTTCTTTCGCGGTTGTGCATGTCACAGTGTGGTTCTTCACGTGTTTCTCTATCTTTCTCATTATGTAGTACTAATAAAATATAAAGTGAATTAAGCACTTATGGTATTATACATGGATGATGTGCTACTAGCTGCCATAGTAGTGCTTCATGATCTTCTGTAGCCTGAAACCTGGCCCGTAGTTGGTCGGTTACTGGTAGTGTATCGTCATCTGCAGAGTATGGTCCTAGGTTGTCCTCCCTGTGCCCGGCATGTGGAAGGCTGACCCCTGGCTCGGGCTGTCCTCTGCTGGGCCGCTCTGGGCCAAGGAGGTGGTTGGTACTGTGTCCAGAACTCAGGCCCGATGTTGAGAAATTCGTCAGCCCCTTGTTGGTCGTAATACAGTGCCGCTGGCCATCCTTTGGTAATCGCGATGTAGAGCAGATGCAACCTGTGGGCTGCATAGTCTTGCGTAGTAGGAGGCAGAGTCTCCCAGGCGGCCAGCAGGTGCAGAACTGTTTGTATGTCGTGCAGATCCCGTTGTCATCAAGGATGCTCAGCATCTGACCTCCCGTGTGAGCTTGTAAACCTTTGGTGTCGACTCGGGAGGCAGGCGAGGCGCAGTCGGAAGTTCTGCTGTCAGTTCCTGCCATTGGAACTGTGGCTCATGCTTGTCATCCTCTTCTTCTGCGGATGAGGGGTCGCACCTTTGGTGAGACCAGACTGGGATTGTGCCTACCACAACCCTGACTTACTTAGGACTGTGTATAGACTCCAGTGCAGGTACAATTTGTCCAATGTCTAAATGCCTAGCGCATTTACAACACTTCATACAATTGGTACCGACTGCCTCGCAGCAAGATTTGTTGTGGATAGCTGGCTACCTTTCCTGGCTAACCTGGGCTATGGGATGGCTCCAGTTTTTAGCCCAGCTAATGCTCCACCACAACACCATGTGGCTCACTGATCTGCATCAGGCAGGAGTGCTTTCCACTGTTCGCCATCTACGCCCGCCTCTGCAGTCGAGACAGCTATATACAGATGCGACACCATCCTCCTTGGCAGCCTTGTCACTGGGACCTCCACAACAGCAGCTAGTCAGAGAATACAGCAACACCAAGCCCATTGCATGGGCTGAAATGGTGGCGGCCCTAACGGGCCTATTGTGGTTTACAACGGACTGCACCACAGCTCCAACAACTATTACATTATACGTTGATTCTTCTACGGTGTACCATGTTGTACCACCTTGTAGGTCTGCTTCTAGTTGAGGTTGTTCATCGTTAACTTCCATGTGGCTAGCAGTGGAAGTTGCCGGAGTCAGCTGAACATCATACTCCTCAAGTAAGTCGTCCCACGGGGCGGAGCGAAACCGTAGCTCTGGTGCTGGTGGTTTATCTGGTGTAAATGTTGACCAGTATTCAGCCAAAGGGCTGAGGGCAGGGCGTGTAGGGCCGCTCACCTGCCGGATATTTTCTTCGTCTCTTCCTTGGTCACTTAACAGGTCGCTGTCATCAACGATGTTTATCAGCTCTTTTGCATGCATCAGAATCTTGATTTCAAAATCCCACACTGGAAATGAGTCGGTTTCCTTCAGTTTTGGCAGATGAGTTACCTCTTCTGTCCCTGTAGTTGCCATTTTTTTGTTATTCTTCTTCTTTTGTCTTCTCCTTTTTTTTTTTTCTTCTTTCCTTTACTCAACCTCTAACAGAAATGAGTACCATTAATTAATTAAATAATTTTCCTGGGGAGTAAAGTGCAGCTGGCGCGTAAGGCTGACAACCTTACTGCCATCTTTGAGCCGATTGTCTAGATAATGTGGGACCCTCAACGTCTCACAACCCTATGGGCCTTCGTGGCCTGGTACAGGGATAGCTTTACTTTTTTTTTTTTAGTTTTTGAGCAAATCTGGGCCCATAACCTGTTGATTTTCTCTGTGTCATGCTTACATATCACTTAACAGCCATATTGGATGAGAAGAAAACTTTTTATTGTAATACAAAACAAAAACAAATGAATATAGATCACTATTAACAACATGAACATTTTTACATTACTAGATTCTCAACAGTAGTGACCTGTTACGTCACAATGGGAAGTGCTGTTATGTCATCGCGCGGGAAGGGGGGGTGTTTACTGAGCGTTGCGCCATTCACATCACAATATTTATTCTTATGTCTCTTTTGGAGTATTTATTATTCTTAAATTAAGTTAAAAAAGTACTTTGAAATGTATTGCTATATTATAGTGATAAATCACCGTGTGAATGTTATGTTATTCTTTATGAAAAGTTGTTATTATTTGACATGACTAATTGTAATTCTCTACAGCTATGGATGAAATAAATAATAATAATCATAATAATGATGTCACATCCCAGAGAACAGTATGCCTCCTAATCATTGCTGTGAGAATCTCAAATCTTACAACACTCACATTGTTTTGAAAACTTGATATTTGATACCAAGGGTTATGATGTGAATGACTCCCTTCTCATTCATATATTATTTCTTTCTTAAGATGAATGCATAAGGGGTGGGCCTTCTTGGCCCTTGCACTGCAACCACAATGATCTATTGTGCCTTCTTTCTTAAGATAGTCTGAACTGTAGTTAATGAAATGCAGCTTGCTTGTCAGAGGCACAAAATGAGCCCTAAGAATAGTTTACTCTGATTTGCAGATGATCCAATCAACATTACTCTGAAATATGCACGTGCTGAATATCCAGTGGATTTGTATTATCTCATGGACTTGTCTTTTTCAATGAAGGATGATAAAGACACTTTGCAAACTCTTGGATGGAACCTGGAAGAGCTCATGAGAAAGTTCACATCAGATTTCAGGCTGGGATTTGGGAGTTTTGTCGATAAGGTTTCCAGGCCATACACGAGCACTATACCTGCCAAGTATGAACTATTTTCTTCTACTAAAATTACAGAGTTTGAAAATATACTAACTATTCTGTTATTGTTATACATTACTTACATGAAGTGTATAAAGATGAGCATTTCACAGGAAAGCTGTATTGTGCATGTAATCTCTGAAAGTGCTGAATGAATTTTAATGAAATTTGTTACTTTACTTCTACATTAAGTTTATCTAACAAAATTATTTTGGGATTATAATTGTCACATATAAGCCCTGTTATACCTTAAAATAAAACCTATGAACTTCTTCAGAAATGTCCCACTGTGTAAAATATGTGTTCATAACATAAAATATATGTATTGTGGCATTTCTGACACCAGTTGTCATGTGACAGAGTGACTATAGGTGGATTTTGAATTGGTAATTGGATTTATTGAATTCTTACAGATCCGTGGCTACATGTAATTATAACCATTTAACTAATTCACACTTTACAATTCACTAGAGCACACACTTAAAGTCTTCTGAGCCTGATATGTCTTCACCAGTATTCTGGTAATGGCTTCCAATGGCAGACATTCCCCTTCCCCTGGGTTCCTGAACTGTCCTAGCCTCAGCTACAGCAACTCTCGACTGACTGACTGTCTTGTTGCCTAGCAACAGGTCTACATGCCACATTATATATTATAAGGTCTGTAACTTCTGTTTGAAACCTTCTTCAGCGAGATGAATATTTAATGAAATGTAAGTAGTGTGAATGAGTTTGTAACAATTTCTATCTGGAACCTAACAGGACTTACTCTTGATGTTCGTTCATTTTCCTTCCTCTTATTAAGGAATACAGATTCTTACATAATGACAATGTTAAATATGTAATTTGAAGAAAGCAGTCTTCTGGGATTTGGCACCGTGTATGTGTGGTGTTAACCGACGTTTCGGAGGAACGTATCGCCCCCATCTTCAGGGTAGAAGAAAAAGTATAAGAAATCTGCAATCTGGAAATATTTCCACAGTCTGCTTTACCGTTTCTCACGGTGTTGTCGCTTGCAGATTTCTTATACTTTTTCTTCTACCCTGAAGATGGGGGCGATACGTTCCTCCGAAACGTCGGTTAACACCACATATACACGGTGCCAAATCCCAGAAGACTGCTTTCTTCATAGTCACCGCCGTGAAAGCCTCAAATCTTACAATATGTAATTTAATTAGGTTTTATTGAGAAGTAAATGAAAGTTGATGTGATTCAATACATGAATAATATTCAAGCAACATTTTAATTCAATTATATTTATTAAACTGTTATGATATTTTCACATATGTGATTGTGACTGTAGACTGGTTTTCGATTGATGATCAGATTTATTGTATACTTACACAGCTCATTACTACACTTTACATATTGTCAAGATTTAGGAATTTGACTATAGATGGGGTTTGGATTGGTGAATTGGATTTATTGACCACTTGGAACTGCAAATAATTACAGCATTATCGCTGATCTCTATACTTTACAAATCACTGCAGGCTGAGTCTTTTCCCAGCCTACTTTATCTCCAACAACCCTTCCCTAGTAATGGCTTCTAACAGTGGAGATTCTTCAACTTCCCGCACTCACGTTATTACTGTCTGGCGAATATCCCACAGCTGAACTAATTCAGCTGTCCTGGGGTCCTTGCTGTATAGCCTCGGGGTGGACCCAGCAGAAAACACTGCCTCCAACAGTTTTTCTGTTGTTCTAATAAGCCGTTGCCAAGTGATAGCCCAGATATTGTTGATGTGTTTACCGACCACTACTAAACAACACACATGTCCCTTCTTGCGATCTTTGCATAGAAATGGTACCACACACTTACAGTATCACTATCACACACAGACTAATGTTCTCAGTCTGTCTTCACTGCTGCTGTTTGGTAGCAGCTTCCAATGACTGATGTTCTCCCTCCTCTGGGCTTGTCCCCGGTCTCGGTTACTAGCATCTAACAGCAACAGCTCACAACGACTCTACCGCAGCAGTCCTCTAACTCATCCACTTACTCACCAACTAACTGACTGACTAACTAACTAACTCTAGACTGTCCTGTTTATAACATCTTGGCACAGACTGCAGAGAAAATACTGTTCCATTATTGCTCTGCAATTGTTGCCCTGGAAGCTTGCTTGTTTGCAAAACTGTTACTTAGCAACAGCGGTTGTATAGCTGCTTCTTTTGTGATCATTGGCCAGCATTTGGTCTACATGCTACAATATGCAATGAAGATGTATTCAGGTTTTAGAGGGAAAAGTTTAGGTAAAAGACTTTCTGCATATTTGGATTATAAGATACTTATAAATTTTAGGAACCATTTTCCAGGAAAGAAGTGTATCTTATGCTCTTGAGTGTATGGTTTATTATATGAACTGTGTTAGGGTATAACCAAATGGTAAATGGAGAAGGCTATAGAAGTAAAACAGTTCTCTTATTTAAGATAAGTGATATATACAGACTTTATGTCAGTGAAATTATCCATTTAGAGATATGAAGAAGTAAATTATAATAATATTGTACTGATACAAGATTACATTAATATATTTATAGTTCATACATTTCTTAGTATGCTGTATGAGCTGTAGAGGTTATTTATCCTCTGAAATCAGAAGTTTATATGCGCATGAGCTCAAAATGATTAGGAAGAATTGGAGTACTGAGTTACGAAGACTAAGTGAGGAGATTCATGAGAAACTGAATTTGTACAGCCATTCAAATATCTGGAGTTTAGTTTGGGTCTTTTCTGAATGTAACTCTCATGCAGTGCTTTATAATTTCACCTTTTTGGTCATTTCTGATTGTTCATTGAACGTAATGTATGTTGCAGTATATTTGGGATGAACATGGTATAGCCATTTGATTAGAAGCCAGGCTTGTTGTATCTTTCCTCACCCTTCCCGGCTGCTGCTGAAAGAGTGCTTTAAATAAAATGTCTCACTCAGCACTTCTGAGTTGTCATTCAAAAGTATCATATCTTTCAATCTCTGGTTACACATCCCTCCAAGTTTACACATTGTTATCAGTTCTTTGCATGCCAGTTATTTATTTTATATGTATCTTCTGTACACCAATGATAAATTCTGAAGCATATTTTAAATCCATCTGACAAAAAAATACTATGTACAACACTTGTATTGATAGACGGGGAAATAATTTTGAAATACAAAGCATGAAACTATCCGCTTTAAAATTTGACTGTGAATAGTAAGTGAAGTCAAACATTTGTAGTAAATTGAAAACAACAAGATTTTCACAACCAGTTTAATTCATCATTTTGTAATCACTATGCAGATTGGAAGCACCCTGCAAAAACTGCAAATCTCCATATGGATTTCACAACCACATGAAGCTTAGTGACAATGTGACACAATTTCTAGTAAGTACAATTTATAACTTTTTCATTATCTTCTTTAGTGATTGTTACTTCTGCAACAAAACATGAGATTGCTTTGAATGTATGTATGTTTTTGCACATGAGTTTGTACATTGATTTGTTTCAGCTTGAGGTTAGTGCTGCAAATGTGTCTGGAAATGTGGATGAACCAGAGGGAGGACTTGATGCCTTGATGCAGTCTGTGGTTTGCTCAGAGGAAATTGGATGGAGGCGAAATGCTCGCAAACTATTGGTCTTCTCCACTGACACTGGTTTCCATATAGCAGGTGATGGAAAGGTAAATTCTGAGAACTTTGAAATTAACCATTTGCTAAAGTAATAAAATTAAAGTTCTCATCTAGTGTGGAACTTACCTTGACATTTGTCAATAATTTACTATTAGTTCCCTTGTAAAAAGTGCACTGTCACATCCTGTAAGTTCCTGGTCTTCCTGCAATTTGCATGGTTTCACATGTACATTCTTTCGAAGAATTCTGTGGACAGTCACAGCCATTTATGGTACCTGTAATCCTGCACTTGCTTGGCCTCTGTATGAAAACCTGCCTAACATGATCCACACCTTCATCAGATCCCGTAGGCCACCCAGCAGGACTTTGTTCCACACTGTCGGTCTCTTAAAATAATTTGTACTATCTCCTAATGCCCTTTTCATCACGTGGTCTCAAACCATTTGTCTAAACTCATGTTGAACTTGAATAATGGATTCAAATTCTGCATACCATAACACAGTATGTGCTTTCTGCTGTATGGTAGAAAATGTAGTGATTAAAGAACACATAATCAAAGGTGCTGTCTGTTAACTACAGTTAGAATGTGTGTGCAATTTATGTCAGTGAAACTATTTGAGTTTATGATGATATTGCAAGTACCATCATTATCATATATGTTTTCATCCCTGAGTTGGTGTTTTAGGTCATGGCTTCCTTTTTGATATACCTTGTATATTTAATGTTTCAAATGTTATAACACATTGTGAGGATTATATATTTGGCTTAAAATGTTTCAGTTTCTTTCGGCTTTCTATCATGAATAATTTGCTGATTTGTGAGGAGATGGAAACAGTGAAAAAACATATCTAGTAAGATAGGCAGCAAATGTTCAGCTTTTGTGATTGTGTTCTTTATGGTATATGACATCTCATCAAGTGGCTTGAGTAGGCATACATATGGTTGATTTGAGGAGATGGACCAGTGTTGGTGCCATAGTATGTTGGTAGAAGTTTAAAAACCTACTTTATTGATGCTTTAATCACCACAGATTACACACCTGCTGGCAAGGCTTTGAACTTGAGCTCATGTGGCAGAAGATAAAGCTGGATGCTGTACTAGCAACACAGCTAATGTCTTTTATTTAGTGATGATTTTTCTTCCTATCCATGAACTGTCAATTAAATGTCATGTTCAAATGAACTGGTTAGCTTTTCTGCTTCATATTTAGGCCTTTGTTTCTCCAGGTAAATATCTGGATATTATCTTAAATTAGACCATAACCCCTTCCTTTTACGTCCTTTCCAATTCATTTGTGGGAACATCCCACATACTTACACGCTGTTTTGCCGGTCTAACAGACAACACTCACTCCTAGGTCAATGCTGCACCTTCAAAGTCAAGGTCATGTTGCAACTGACGGTCAGTCAGTCTGTCTGTCTTGGTGTCAAGCCCCAGCTGAGGCTCATGACCAGATGTTTTCTTCTTTGTGAAAGTTGCTGTCCTGTCCATTTGGGGCGCCCTCTCTGACGAGAGGTTGGGTCTGTCATTTGTCAATCTTAGTCAGTCATGTCAGTATTGACACATATTTACAATTTAATTCTAGTCTAAATTACTATTTTTATGTATGATATATACAAAGCCTCTGTCAATCCAGGCTTTGTACAGCAGATTATGCCCCATTTCTAGTATTATTTGCTACCACGGCAGTCTAGTCACTTGAATGGTCGTATGCTTGGCCGCTGCCAAGTTTAAGCCTCTTATACTTTCTATGTCGGGCTTGACCTTGACCAATAATGCGAACATTCTCATTTTCATGATTTTGTATGACTTCTGCTTGTTTCCTGCATAATTTTATTATGTAATCATATATGTATGGAATTTTGTGTGCCATGTGCAATTCGCGGACCGGTGTGTGCCTTGGAAAAATGCCAGTGGTGCGGAAAACCTTGTTTTGCAGGTGCTGCAATTTCACTAGATGGGTGTCTGCCGCAAACTCCCAGGCAGGACTAGCATAAGTCATTACAGATCTAATAAGAGTTTCGTGGAAGGTCAATTTAATGTTAGCGCTCAATCACTCACTTTTGAATAGGGAATATACTCTAATGAATGTTCTGAAGGCCTTGGCTTCGATCATTTCTATGTGCAATCTCCATGTAACTCTCTTATCAAAGATTACACCTAGATATTTTGCACTATTTACAAATGGAATATTTCTTCCATTTAGAGTAAGACAAGACTCAGGCGGTCGACGACCATGAGAGAAGTAGACCCCCCGAGTCTTATCTTCATTAATTTTTATATTCCAGCGCTCACACCAGGTCTCCATTGAGCTGGGACCGCGCTGGAGTTTTCTAACAATAAAACCCTCCTTGCGATCTGTCGCATATAGACAGGTGTCTTCCGCAAAGAGGGCCAGGTGAACCCCATGAGTTTGGGGCGCATCATTTATGAACAAGTTGAAAAGGGTGGGGGAAAGGACAGAACCTTGTGGCACCCCTGCTTGCATTTCCCTTGGCGTTGACATTTTGCCTTCAACTGAGACCCTGAATTTACGTTTAGAAAGAAAGGACAAAATAAGTTTGGTCAAACTGTTCGAGAATTCCAATTTTGATAACTTATACAGCAATCCTGAGTGCCACGTGGTATCAAAGGCTTTTTCGATGTCCAAGAACACTGCAGCCGTAGACATTTTATTGTTGAAATTCAGGGTCACGTGGTCCGCCAGCCTCATACATTGCAATGTCGTACTGTGACGTGCACGAAAACCAAACTGGCTTGCATTGAGCAGGACTCTTTGTC